CGAGCAAAGGCAACAAATGCAACATTCATGTGCATACATACATACTTACAACAACAACACGTTAATGACTGGAGACCCCGAAAAAGCTGACACAATCATACAGAGAACGCACACTTTCACACATCGCGCATGCAAACAGCAGGCTTGCATGTGGAGACACCGAAAGCACACAGCCACGAAACGTCTCACCTACATACATATTATGTACATTAGGTTGCCCGACCGGAGCAAACACGTGGCTGTCTCCTCAAGTGAATCATTAAAAGTTAGTTAATTTTATGAGTGTCACAAAAAATATTTTAACTCAAAACATGTCCTTTGAATATATAAAAAGTGAATATATTTCAGTTAATTACAAGAAATTACTTTGCCGACACAGTGTACTCGCGATTTAGACCATATCTATGTGACACAGTTTAAGGGGCCTGCGAGTCTGAGCCCTTTCCATGAATTTCCGTCTGCTCCAAAGTGTGGGGACCCATATGGCTTATGCCTTATAATTTCAGGATGCCTTTCCTTTTCAACCATTCCTTCCAGGACTGAAAAAGTGGAACGGTTGGCCTTGTTGTAGTTTTTGTTGTAACAACATAAAAATTCATCAAAGAATTTTTTGGGGAAATGCTGGAGTGGCGGTCCTTGGCCTGATAGATGTATGTATGTATGTATCCAAATCTGGGTCGTTCCAGTAGACCCACCACTTTTAAAAACATTAATAACTCATAATGACCTTTTCGTACCCAATTTGTATTTCAATGCTATGGTTGAAAAGAGAATTCCTTCCCAAACTACTATTTCTTTTAAAAATTTAATGAAATGGATGGAAATTTATTTGCACAATTTGATAGTAAATTTATGTTTAGAAATTTTCGGTGTCAAAGTGTTAATTTATCAAAACAATCAATTAGTTTTTAAATAAGCCATCAGAAGGCGAATCCGTCAAGAAGTGGTGGAGCTAATTACAATTGACATAAAAATTTCGTTGAAAAAATACCTTCAAGAGCATAAGAAATCTGAACATTGCCGTTATAACCGCCGATTAAAAATAAATGTTATATATCATAAGTAGGGCAACCCAAAATGTGTTCGGGCATGTTTTTTGACAGGTATGTTAGCAACGCGCTAATGAAATGCTTAAATGCAAAAAAATATTAAGTTCGAGTTATATTTCTTAGAGCTTATAATGAAAATTTCTGATATAATAACAATATAGTAACACTGTGTCGAAAATAAAATAAATATCAAAGTGCTCGATTACATCTCGGTTATATAAAGTTTTTCTAATGTGCGAGCCGGACGCGTACAGTTATTTTGCATAAAATTGACACAAAAACCTCCATTGAGGGGACCCGAACCTCTTATGAACGGACATTAAGATTTATTTTCATAACAAATCAAACAAAAACCTCCGTTGAGCGGACGCCACCTCCTCATAGGCGGACTTCTAAATGGAAAAGGGGGACTTCCCGCATAAAATGTGATTTTTATGCACACATTTACTTTGGTTTGCGCAGTGGTTTAGGTTCGTTATTTGAATTATCAGAAACCCTTGGGGAATCCAATTCCAATTCTGATGAATTTATAACAATAGGTAATAATAAATACATGGATCGAAAAATTAGATTTCTGGTTGGATTTTGTTACTGATACAAACATGAAAACTATTGATGAAAAAGGTACTGACACTGAAAAAATTAAAAATAAAACTTGCGTCAATCGACAATTTCCCAGTTTTTTATGTAATGAATCTGTGGTTTTATGTAGTTTATGGACTGGAATGTAATACTTATTTTCATTTTGTTATTACTTAATATGTACTAACGCACATAAATGAAATATGCACTTTTGAAAAAATACATGCACATTTTTGTTTGAACGATGTAATATCAATATCTTTTATTCAAATAAGAAATAGTGAATATTCAATTAATTAAAACATTAAAAAGTTCTAAAATAAGCTTCCCTTCCTTTGAGCGGACACCTCTCTTGGGCGGACAAAAAATGACTGACGGTGTGTGTGCGCCCAAGGGAGGTTTCACTGTACTCCTTTTTTCAACCGTTCGTTATTTAAAGTAATCAATACATTTAAAAAGGGATTCGTTATTTGGAGCGTTCGTTATATATGCATTCGTTATACTGGATGACCACTGTACAAGATTTTTTTTATGAAGCGCGGGGCGCCCTAATGCCCACATATATGTACATATACTATTACCTACCCATGCAAGGAAGCAGTGCTGGTAACAGTTGCCACACTACACAACAAAGCACGCGGAGGCACACAAAGCGTACAGCACATAATGGTGTGGGAGGCGGAAGGGGAAAAGCACAGCTGAGTTGCGGTTATCGTTTTTGTTGCCATCACTGCCACTGCCGCTGCCACTGCCGCTGCTGCTGCCACTACTGTTTTCTGATTGCCATAATTATTGTTGCCGTTGTTGCTGCTGCTTGGCTTACATATTTAAATTTTTTCAGAGTTGTTTTTGCATTTGTTTTGCCCGCTGTGCTGCATTGTAATGCAGTTGGGGCTACTACATAGCTGCCGCGCGCTAGCACTAAACACAAAATTCCCCCTGATTGTAGTTTTCTTTTTTTTCTCGTTGTCTTGGCTGATACTCAACTTTGTTACTGTAGCAGTGGCTGGCTGTCTTTTTTCTAGTCGTTAATGCCAGTGCCGTTGTTATTCCAAAGCTCCAACAACATATAAATAAACGGAAAAACAAAAAACTGATACGAACAAGGCGAAGCAAAGCGAACGACATGAAACAAGCAAAACAGGCGTGCGGCGAAGGCCGAAGGCGACATAAGAGAGCCAGTTTGGAGCTTACGTATGTATGTATGTTTGTGTGTATGCATGGATTGACTAGCTAGTAGCGCAGGGGTGGACGAAGGGGCGCGCGCGCTGTTGAATGTAAAGTGCCAAATGGTGGGGAATAGTGCAAAGCAGCAGCACCAACAAAAGCAACAAACGCAGTGTCGGAGGCCTAGTGTAGTAGAGGGCGGCGGAGGAAGGTGGGATGTTAAGGTAACTGTAGTAAGAGTTGTGCTGAGTGCGCACTGTGGGAGAGAGTAGAGTATGGTGCGTTAGAGGTGACCGCGGCTGCTACGAGTACGGTTAAGTGACAGTCAGTGGTGGTGGCGCCGATGGCGTTGACAATTCGATGTGACACAGTGGGGCAAACGCGACGGACGCGGTAGCAGCTGATAGGAAAACGTATAACAGTGATACTACTCGAATTTATAGGCGAAGAAAAGTGTAAGAATATTTAAGAAATTTAAAATACAAAAATGAACGCTAGTGCGTTGCAAAATATAAAAACAGCAATCAGTGAGATTGTATCAGGCAGTTAGTAATGCAGGTAAGTTAGTCAGTGGCAAAGTGAGTAAGCAATCAACGGTCGGTTGCAGCCACAGTGACTGTCCAAAGCAGCTCTTAGTGCGGCCACGACAAGCGCAATACATAACTTAACCAACAACAACAATAAAGATAACAACGGCAGCAGCGCAATAACCGAGTGGAGCAAGTAGACAGCGCGCGCAGCGACCGCAGCCGCGACGGAGCATGCCACACACAGTTTAAATATGTGAAATTAGTACAAATCGTGATTTCAACGGTGAACGACGAACGTACGGCGGGCTGCACACAACACACGACACGTTGTTGCGGAACGGACGCGCAGGCAACTCAGCACACAACAGAGCAAGCAACGGAATCAGCAAAGCAATACCAAAGGCAAACGCGAGTAAGTCAGACAGCCAGCAAGGCGGCCCGAGTCAGTCAGCCAGCTAACTACATACATATGTACATTCATGTGTAAATACATACCAGTCGAGTAAGCAAACAAATAAGCAAAAGGCAGGCAAGTAAGCAAAACAAGCAGCCGAGCGAATGAGCCACTAACCACAAACGTGGTGGTGGAAGAGAAATCAACAGCAACAAAAACAAGCAAGCAAGTATAGCAACAACAAGAACAAGAGTAGCAGTGTAGACAACACGAAAGCTAAGTAGTAGCAAGAGGAGAGTACAACAACAGCAAGCATTATTGCTCCACGCCACAGCAAAAACTGCAAACACCTCCAAAAGCGCCGCGCCAGTATGTGTCAGTGCGCGAGTGCATGCTAGGCAAGCAGATATTCGGACAATTATTTAGTTAGTGCTAAGAAAAAGGAAAACAAAGTGAAAATACAGCTGACGGCTGCACGACACGACGTACGTACGAGCCCCAACATCGCGCGCGCACACAAACGTCACACACGAGTGTACAGGCTCAACAACGATTGACGAGGCTAACGCGGAGCGAGTCGTGTTCAATTGATAGACAAAGGAGTGGAAAGAGCCATTGTTGACGGCGGCGCAATCAGCGCAAGGCGAAGGCAACTCCACGGCCAGCAAGGTGATACGAACCGCGCGGCTAGACGCAGGCTAACGCGCAGCAGCAACAACACGGCCACGCAGGACGCAGTGCAAACGACCCCCATTCCCATCCCTAATCCCGCGACCCCACAAATCCAGCACCGACCCACCCCGCCTTACGGGCAAGTTGGAGTAGCCATCGACAAGCAACCGTTCGCGTCTCTTCCCTCCCCGTTTACAGCACCAGCAACGAGTCGGCGTCCACTGCGACGACGTCAGACGCCGCGACAGCAGCAAGTGTGTGTAATACCGAAAAAATTGCAGGCATCAGCGAAAAAAGATAAGCGCAGTGAGGGCATTTCAAACTTCGCAGGCAGCAACAAAGACGACTGCGGAACCACCACTGTAGGCAACGGTACTGCGGATAACAGTATAACACGTGAAGGAGAGCGTCTCTGTGCCATAGCGGCAGTGGCAGTTGGTAGTGTGGTATCAGCGCTGGCGAGAACGAAAAGGCAACGCGGTAGAAGGCGGCACGTAGCGACTACGCGTAAGTTAATCGCAAGTAATTTTGACAAAAAGAAAACGGGTAACGCTTTAGGCAGAACGACCACCTGTTCTAGTGATCCGATTATCGTAGAAAAAAGTGAACAACGCGAGTTGGGCAGCAGCAATACGACAGCAGCTAACACCAACAGCTCCACTAAATCAGAATCATCAATAGAAGTGACCTTGACAACATTGACAACGTCCCCCGCAACGGAGTCGCAGACAAAGGCGGATAGGGGCAGCAGGGACCCTAAGGTTGAGGCTGACCCTGAGGCAGCGCCCACGACGACCACCGATTCGGCTGTGTGCCCGCCTGAGACAGAGAAAGCCAACAACATTCCCCCGCCACAGCATCGGCGTCGTCGCAAAGCGCGCCTTACTTACAAACGCGCGCCACCGACACCATCGCCGTCCTCCATGTCCTTGTCGGTGGCGCTGCCTGCGCTCCATACGGCGGCTGGCCTAGCGTCAGGCGGGGGGACGGCAGCAACTAATGGTGGCGGCGGCGCGGCTGCACTTTCACCCACTTTTGGCGTTGGCGGCGAATCGCTGCCTAGCCCTACAAACGATCGCGTAGAGTGGTCGCGTTCCACCATACTTGATTTCATCGAAGATTATCGCATGCATCGCGTGCTTTGGGATCCCAACACGAAGGGTTACCACATCAAGCAAACGAAGTATGAGGCGCTCAAGCTGTTGGGCAACAAATATGGCACCGAAATACGCTCGATACGCAGTAAAATTAAAAGTTTACGTTCGTCATTTCATCGCGAACACGGTAAGGTGCTGATCGGCAGGCAAAAAGGTGTCCACTACCAGCCCATGTGGTTTGCTTACGACGCCATACGTTTCATACTCGATGGCGAGGGCGGCAATGGTGGCGTTGGCGGTGGCAGCACTGCCACAGCAGCGCGCGGCCAACACGCGCAAACAAGGGCGACGGGCGCAATAGGCGAGGCTGACGAAGTGGAAGAGAAACTCACATTGTTACGCGACGATAGCGTTGACGGTGGTGCTGGTGGAGGTGGGGATGACGAAACGGACGGCGGCGGGGAGAGCGGTGAACTGGATGATAAATACGCAGCTGCTGTGCGCGCCATACAAGCAGCAGCGCTGGCTGGTGCGCGGGAGAATGTCAGCGGTGGCGGCGCTGTAACGGCTGGAGTGAACGGCGCGGCGGTGGCGGGAACCACAGTTGACGAATTGAAAGTGGAACCACAAGCAACAAGTGTGACGGCAGCAACATCAGCACCGGGGAGCGCTACAAAAACAACAGCGACACCACTGTCGTCGGCAGGGGCACTGCCAGCACAACAACACCCAGCCACTGTGGTTTATGGCATGAAACCAGCCACTGCAGTGGCATTATTGGCCAACAGCAAACTATTCAATGCAACACCAGTGACAACTACAACAACAACAAACGTTACAACGACAACAACGAGCGAGGCGCTCACCACAACCGCAGCCACTACGCATAGTGCAGCAGCAAATTCGGCGCCAAGTACAGCAACAACTACGGCTGCGCTTTTGCAACATAGCGGCAATAGTGATGACAAAAATAAAAGCAACAACAACGGCAGTGGCAATAATACGAACGTCAACAACGCAATGGCCATGATGACAATGACGACGCCAGCGTTGACAATTATCGGCAGCGCTGGACTGGCAATGGGCCTTGGTGGCCTGGCGACAATGACAACAGCAGGCGGTGCGGGCAGTCTCGGGGGCGGTTGTGGCGTAGGTGTGCTAGGCGGCGGTGGTGGCACAACAATGTCGCATGCATACGGCGCTACCACACCGCTCCATCAGGCCGCCGCCACAGCCAGCGCGGCTGATGGCGACGAATCGGCGGCTGCGAACAATAATTTGGTGGCGCGTATGGCCGCAGCTGTAGCGGCAGCAGCAGCAGCTAATGCCGCGGCGGCGGCAAATGCAAATCGGAATGTCGCTGGGAGTATCGAGGAACAACAGCAACAACAACTAGCTACGGTAAGTAAACGAATTAAATAACATTAAAATATTTGTCTCTATGTGTGTGTGAGTTTTCAGCAGCACCAAATGGTTGCGGGCAGTGGGACGCGGCCACGGTAATAAATTTTTACTGCTGCTGTCATTAGCTGCAGCCATTTTTTCGTTGTTCATATGGGGTACCACTACTGTTTTGTGGCTTTTTGTTCACGCTATCGATATTCCATTCTGTTTATTTATTTCATTTTCATTTTTGTTCCATTTGTCTTGTATTTTTATTTCATTACCTGCTATTGCTCGTTTACGCTTACTTTCGTCAGCATGTTTGTCTACATACATACATATTTAGTACATATGTTTTGTTGTTGCTGCAGTTGTATTAGTGGTTTGACTTGTTCGCATTATGCTGATGAGCTGTACGACCGAAGGTGTGAGCTGTCTGTTAACGTTAACTGTCGTGTGCAGTGCGGGCATGTGTTTGTCTGCCTGGGACTGGGTGTATGTGTGTGCCTCTTTCGTGCCTCGTTGCTATCGTGTGTTTAGCGCGCTCGGCGGACTGTGTGCCTTATTGCACTGCAATGGTGGAGCTTGGAGCTCTGTCACCACAGCTGCTGCTTTTCAGTGCCATAAGTTTTGTCGTAGAATGCAGCGACACATTGACACTAACCCAATGAGAAATGGAATGACGGGCATTGCCGTGAGGAGCATATACATAAGTTATATGAGATATATGTATGCATGTATGTATATATAAGGAATATTAATCTCGGGATCCATAATAGAAATTCCTTTTCTTGACCAGTATTGGCTATATTTCTTTTTTTATTTAGTAATTAATATTTTTTCATAAATGGTAAGTTCATTATACAAATAACACCGTTCGATCAGGGCTGCCAACTTGCCTCAAACCGTGCCCTTTTTGGCCCTATTTTACTTCAAATGGCACTTAATTTTACAATTTGGCGGTTAGTTTAAACTTAACTTACCGTAAAAAACTTAACAACCTGTAGATTGGAGAGAAAAAATAAAAATGCCACTTTAAATAAGAAAGTAGGTTTCAAAGCCATTTATTTATCATTTATTTTATGGTAGGAAAGCTTCTAAAACAATATAGAAGCAATTTTTTCGATTAAAGTTGTCGAAAAGTAGTGATAATGACATCCCGAAAATCCCGGGATCGTAAAAAGCGAAAAAATTAACATCCTTAGAATGTATACATCCATATAACTACTTAACCCTCAATCCAAGTGTGAGTTAAAACTTTACCATGAAATCGGTACTCACAGGTTAACCGGGAAAATTTTCCTTAAAATCGATCCGAATATGAAAAACCGAAAAATGAAGGCGGGTAGAGGAGCTTTTTCTGATTCTGAAAGTGAAGACGCCAACTGCCGCTTATAGTTATTAAGAAATTTGTTGTTAAAATTGCAAAATTTCACATACCAATTTAATCGATTACAGGCAAGGGTTGTAAATGAACACAGATGTTCGTGCTGCCAGATGTAAGAATAATAAAAAAGTCGCGGGTGTTTTTTATTAAGAATTTTAACTTTATATAAAAATACTTAAAAAATCGAAAATTTGTAAAAAGCATCGCCGGATTTTTCATTACAAATTTTCACTTTATTGTAAAATATTGGGGAAATGTTTAGTTATTTGTGCAACGATTTTGTGGTGGGGGTCGAAGGGGGGTTGGCCGTGTCCCCTCAAACCTCACGTAAAAGAAAGAGGATGGATCGCACTTTATGAAAATTCTCCCATCAAGGTCCGCACTGAAGAGAGTAGCGACACATGTCTGTGCGCCGATGTTCTGGGCGTGACTAATATACGTGCCCCGCGGGGAGGCAGTAAGCTCGAAAGAGCGCGAGCGCACTCTGAAAGCCTGATTATAGCAACTTAACTTAACTTGACAGAACTTAGAACTTGGAACTTAGAAAATCAAAATGAAACAGATTTCGACGTGGCATTAAGTTACGTAACGTACGTTAAGTTTCGGCTGTTCAATTATAACCAACATCCATATAAGAGAATTTTTAAGGGAGAGCCCGTAAATTACGTTAAGTTACTATAATCAGACCAGAATGTATTTTCTCCCCCGCACTTCGAAATGATCTTGACCCCCATAAGCCTAATTAAGGGTTAACCCTCAACTTCTTAAGAAAAAATCATTTTATTTGTTTTTAAAAATTTGCTAGTATCTAGGAACGAAGTCATATTCTATTCCGAGAAAAGAGTTCAGTTACATCAACTAAACATGCGATTTTGTTATAGTTACTTAATTTGGTGATAGTACCAAATCTGCCTTTCTTTGGAGTTTGGAATTAGAGCCCAACAATCGTGTCGCTTTTTCGTTACATCGATGTTTGCATTTACTGCATGTGCCAAGCGCAAAGACGTTTTACCTTAAAAAATTATAATTTCATAATCACCAAATTCAAAACTCTATCCAGTCATATTTATTCAGCAACACTACTTTTCGATTTAGTCAGGACTGGGTGACAGATCTCAAGCTGGTTCTCCGACAAATGAACCTAAATGAAATACCTACATAGAGTTATTCATCTAGACCTTTTTTACATTTTAATTAAAACACTGCATGCCAAAATATTTATTATTAACATTTACTTTTTAAAAATAATTTCATTCAAACGTTGGTAGCGACTATGCTGTAGGTGGTCTATTCGGAAAGTCCAATTTTCAATTACTCTGTCCAGAATTACGCGAGTAATTTTGGCTTGCAAGTTTTGACTTCACATAGCCGGAAATAAAAAAATCCAGAGATGTGATATCACACGATAACTTGCTTAAATGAAATGTTGCCGACATTAAACACAGGCAACAAAAACCGCGGCAGCACTCGTCATGGACGGTTATGCTCTGTCTGCGACCAACATTTGAATGAAATTATTTTTAAAAGGTAAATGTCAGAGAATGTTCTTTCGGCGAATAATAAAGATTCCGATATCCAGTTATGTTTTAAGTGTTTTATTTAAAGTTATAAAAAAGGTGTAGATGGATCACCCGATATTAATTCCGGACAAATTTGTTAAGCTACACTTCGGTGTCGTCTAAAATTCTTGAAGAAGGTTTTTTTATACCTTTCATGAGCATGAAATGGTATTATAACTTTGGTCCGATGTTTGTAAGTACCAGAATAAGAAGAGATAGACCCATTACATTATCAACAGAATACTTACGGTGAAAACAATAAACATCGGGTCACTTTTACATATAGCTCCCATACAACTGATTGTTCAGATATGGAATTTTTTGTTATAACTCCTCCATCTGTGCTGCTGGGAACATGAAATTTCGCAGTGTTTCTACCCATTATCAAACAAAGACAGTGAAAATGTTGAAGATCGGGTAGCTAAAACCTATAGCCTCCATACCACTAATTGTTCAGATATGAGATTCCTTGTTAAAACTTCTCCATATATGCAGCTAGAAACATGAAATTTCGCACTATTTTCACTCATTATCAACAGAAAGTTTACAGTAAAGTTAACAGAGATCGGGTCACTACAACCTATATATTGCCTCCATACAACTGATTGTTCAGATATGGGGTTTTACTGTAAAACTCCTTTATTTGGACAGCTAAAACCGATAAATTTCGTAAGCTATTTTATAAATAATAATACAAGTCGGCCGCTATGGTGTAATGGTAAGCAGTGCGCGCTTCCACTCCGCAGTACCTGGGTTCAAGCCCTGGTCAAAGCAACATCGCAAAAAATAATGGAAAAAAATATTTTTTCTTAACAGCGGTCGTCCCTCGGCAGGCAATGGTAAACCTCCGAGTGAATTTCTATCATTAAAAACCACTTCTAATAAAAATACAATCGCCGTTTGTGTAAACTGTAGGTCTCTCCGCTTTGTGTGACAACATCAAGGCGCACGCCACAAATCGGAGGAGAAGCTCGGCCAAACACTAACATACATATGTGTAAGCGCCAATCTATTATTATTAATACAAAGTCTACTGCGAAAATCGTCAAAGTGTATAAGCTTTATCTCTTATACCACTGATTGTTCAGATACCAGTCTTTGCGATAAACTAACCTAACGCTAAACCCATTGAATTGTGTTACCGCTTTACATACCGATCACACAGCAGTGAAAATCACTTAGATTGGTGCTATATAAGGTATATCTTCCATACCTCTGATTGTTTAAATATGATTTTTTATATATGTATCTCCTCTATCTATGTATGCTGTGAATATATACATTTTTTCAAATGCAGTAATCTGTTAAAGTAAAATTTTCAGATGTTCATGAAAGCTATGAAGCCTTCGGCATAGCCGAAGACAGCGCTGATCTTACTTGTTCTAGTTTCTTATTGACAAACGCGTGTTTAATGGAGATATCCATCCAGTTAAGTGGACACGCGCACCAAGGAATTAAAATTGTTAGCACATAAAGGTTAAATTAGTGGTGACATGCCATAACGCCATAGCCAAAACCATTGCCATAGCCGTAACCATATTAACTATCATCGATTATAGGTATCATAACCATAAACAGCTGAGTTTTCGCACTCAACAATGTCGGTGTTGCTAGACGCGAAATTGTGTAATATCGTAGGATATCTGCGCAGAACTTCTTTCACTATCACTAAATTAACACTAAATTCTAAAAAACAGCTGATCATAATAAAATAAGTACATCAAATTCAAGGAACTTACTTGTACTTTCTTAATAATATAAATTTTTAATTTAAAAATATTAAAAAGTATATAAATTATGTACATCAACGGAAAGATAAATTAATTGTCTTTATTTTGACATCATAAGTTTTTGAATCGGTTAAGTAGTTCATAAGATGTTAATATTTAAGAAAATCAAAACATTTTTATTGAACCTTTTGTATCTTTATATTTTTGCGCCAAATAATTTTGGTACAGTTGAAATCAGCGTGAGAAGTTCTATCTAAATGATTCATATCAAGGCACGTTAAACAGATAATAGCAGTAGAGCAAACACAACCCTGCCATGTATTTTGTTGTTCCCTGAGAAACCTAGAATGTCAAAACAGAAATAAATGCAAACACGTTCGACCAATCAAAAAGCAAGCAAAAAGGATGCTAATGTATGTACATATATGTGAATGTGTATATGAATGTGGCAAAGTTTGACAGTTCAGAGATTTCCGAAATAGAAAAAAATCAAAACTGCAGTCTTGCTGCTACTACCTGTTGAATGTGCCTTGGTTCATATAATACACTTATGCCAAAGCGTTGGCTGTGAACAATATTTTATTTTATTTTTTTGAACGTCTGGTAACATGTTCTTTCTCGCACTTCAGATATCAGCTGATTATGGTTATGGCGGAAAACCAAAATTCAATTGGTCTCTATGGCTATGGTTATGGCTATGGCGTTATGGTGTGGCACCACTAATCGAATACAGTGTTGGCCATAAGGTTGGTTGGAACAGCTGCTGTATATGGTTATGGTTATGTCACCACTAATTTAACCTTAAGGAAATGAAAACTTAGTCCTAAGAATTAGCTGACATTTAAGTAGCATAATACTAAAAACTCAAAAAAGGAAATCTCAAACGTTATCCAAATTATTGGGTTTTCAATTTTCAGTAAAAAAAAAGATTAATAAAAAAATCATCGAAAAATGTAATCCAAATTTGATGGCACTTTTACTCCGAAATTGCGCTACAAGTATGCAAGTATATGATTCCGACCAGGCATTTGCTGAGTAATTTCGAACGGAATGCGCACTTTGCAGCGTTCGCTGGCAGCAAAAGCGAATACGGTGACGCTAGCGCTGCCACTTCATTAGCTGCAGTTGCTGATAAGCATGCGGCAGCAAAAATACTCTACCGTGTACATGCGTGAGTGTGTTGGTGTTTGTCGCATAGGTGCTTTGTGTGTATGCGTGCAAATAATTCTCAGTACGAACGAAATCGCGTTAAAGCTGATGCAACAACAAACGACAAAAATGTAATGTAACAACAACAGCAAAGATAACAATAACAGGCAAAGTAAAAGCCAAAAAGCATTGGCATGCGGCTACAACTCACTGTTGAACTTGTAGTCGCAATCACGGTTGCCACACGACAAAAAATTTTCTGACCCGAATTAACAAACAAAGTTACCAATTAAAAAACAACGTTTTATTATACAATAAACTGTAAAAACAAACCTCGTTTATGGGTACAATAAATAGTTTTATTAAAAGAAAACTAAACAAACTCGTTTCACATATGAGGCCATGAGGGACAAAGGAGCTTATTTACAAAAAAAAATTTGGTAATATGAGAAAGAAGGATCTATAAAAAATAAATGCGGTATTTTACTAAAAAGTTCATTACACCTACGTGATGCTTGGGCTATTACCGTTTTGACTTTGGTAATGCATTTTAAGGTGCATCTCCATTTTTTTTGAAATGCCAGTTAATCTACTCTAGCGCTCAAGGCCGCATATAATAACTAGATACATTTACATACGTATATACATTTTTATTCAATCTCTGTATACGTACGTGTATAAATAAGAAACATTTTTGAAACAAAAAACAACACATAAATATTTTTGCAACGCACGCTTTTAAAAATATAATTTTCATAAAAACGCGCTTTAAGCTTTAAGATGGTTTTCAATAAAATAACATTAAGATACGATTTCCAGGCTTCATCTATTGGACTTTGAACCTCTCGACACAAAAACATATAAATACTGACGCGATCAATATGGATCACGATCCAAATATCACAATAAATATTGAACGTGTGACAGGCGCCCAACACTGTGATAAATTAGCGAATAGACTGTCCAGCGATAATTTTCTCCGATATGTGGTTAGTTATTTTTGCTGAGCGCTGTGTTGGCTGATCAACGCAATTGTTTCTAGTAGTTCCATAGTTCAATTTATCAAATTAATCCAACTTTGTTAGTCTGACTTTATACACTTACCTGAAGTTAGCAAAGTAAAAAAAAAAGTTTCCAAATTACCAAGCACTCAAAAAGTTACCTATTTTGGTCCAAGGGACCAAATGTGGCAACCGTGGTCGCAATCGGTTTTATTTTTCTCTGCTTTTGTGTTTCTAGTATGTAATTTACAAAATTTCTATATTAATATGCATGACATTGTGGCTAGCGCTCTTTTTGTTGTTGTTATTGATGCAACAGCTAACTCTTGCTGCTGCCGCCGTCGGCTTTGCCGATGTAGTGCTGTGTCCACAACGTAGGGTTGCCAGATTTTTTATGCGCGAAATCAGTACGCTAGACCTTTTCACGAAAAAAAAAAAAATTGCTTTTCAGTATACTTTTATCCAAAGCAAAATTATGAATGTTAGTAACAGATAATACTTTAAACCGCCAGAGTACTTGTTTTTAAAAATATTTTGGTATATAAATAAAATATAGATCATAAAAAATAAAGGTGTTATTCGTTTTAACATGTGTGTAAACATTATTGTATACAGAAGCCAATAAATTATTCTATATTTATGACATTTTTGAATAGCAATAATGAGATCATTTCCATAGATTGAATGATTTTTTTAACTACGCAAAAACTTTGAAAGACTAAGAATTCACTCAAAAGAGTATCTAACTCTATGCCTTGTTTGCAAAACTCTTTTACGATGTCAGTAAATTGTGAAAAAAGAATTGTAAGTTATAGGCAAAACCATTCGAATATTAAATTTTTTTGTTATTAAACTGAAAGCGATTTTCGAGATAAAAACAAAAAAACGTCAGCCTTCTTTTTAAATAATTTAAGCTCCATCATGTTATCGCCACTGGCACGTAATGAGCCGGCGATATCCCCATAAAACGATTGATCTTTTTGTTGTATTAATTTCTTTGGCAGATCAAACATTAGTTACTAAAAACTTTTAACATCCATTGCTTCACTCTACGTATAAGCAAAAGAGACCAAAAAGCCATGCACGAAAAATATCAACATTTTAATTATATCATATTTAGCTATTTTAGATACAATTGTTTTTTATAAATTCCCCACTTTACATAGAGTTTTATCATTTTGATGAATATCAAACAGTACAAAAAAAATGATATAAATGTTAGGAATCTAACTATGTACTTAGGAAACTATAGTAAAACTTCGTTTGTAGATTTTCTCTCTTATGTCATTTTTTTTTTTTAAAGACCTTGAAATTTTAAAGATATGATTGCTTCAAAAAACTATTCCAAAAATTCAGTGCAATGCAGAATAACAAATGAAAGAGGAAATTCTGTGGATTAAGACAAATAAAATTTTTTGGTTTACGAGGACGAATGGGTATTGAAAATTAATTGATTAAATTTATTTTTTTATTTCTCACTCTTACCTTATGCTATCGTTTCTGCTAAATTGAAATATGTTTAATTTCTATGACTTTATGAATTAATTTATGCTGAAGTAAATAAAAACTTCACTATTCAGGTATAGTTAATATGGTTTTGTGATTATCTGATCACACTGCTATTGACGATGCAGACGCTGTTGGTAATCGTACGATGCGACGATGCGACGATGCGGCGATGCCGAGTAACTTCGCTACTCTGGCATCGTGGTAATCGGCAGAAGTGTTAGTTAATAACGTACTCGTACGATACTAACATAGTCGTGCAGGCCACTGATACATACATACAAATATACAATATTAGCTTTTTCTTAAATTTTCTGTTGGAGCGAGAGCTTAATGACATGTTCGACTGGTTTTCACTTGCAGGCGCGGTCCACAGCTGCAGCGGGCACCGGCACGGCCGCGGCAGGTTTACTCGGCACTGGAGCTGCCAGCACTGTCGCAACGACTGCCACCGATTATGAGGCCGATATACAAAGCTTTTGTTGCAACATCAGCGCGGACGATGTGAAAACAGAAATTGTAAGTAAACAGCGATTTCTCTCACAGCCACAAACAGCCGCACAGAATGACTAATCCACACATTTCACTTTTGCGCTTTACCTTTTCTACCTTCCCTTCCTTTTTTTTATCTTTCTTCTTTACCTGATCGACACGCAGTTCGAAGGCGACACTGGTGAACTAGTCATGCTTGAACAACAACAACAACAACAGCAGCATCATCACCATCAGCACCCACGTTCGTGTAGCGTTACTCCGCTCACAGCCTCAGCGGTCAACTTCTACAAGTTGCCACCGATGGCCGAGTTGCCAATGTCTTCCAGCGTAGGCGCGCGCAAACGAAAGCCGCTACCGATGCACATCGACGCTGCCTCGCCATCGAAGCAGCCCACACTGGCGCTGCAACAACACTTGCAGCAACACCTACAATTGCAACACCACCATCAGCTTCAACAACACCAGCAACAACACACGCAGACGCAACATTCCAACGCACAAGCGCGCGCCAAATCGCGCGAACGTGAGCTATTATTGCCTGCGAGCGCCACGAGCGGTGCGTTAGCTTTCGCCGCCGCAAGCAATAACCATAACCACAATCATGGACAGAGTCAGAGTCAGAGTCAAAATAGCAATAGCAACAATAATAATAACAACAACAACGGCAATAATCTAAATAACACGGGCAACAGCAGCAATTTGCACAATCTAAGTTCCAATCAAAATCCAAAGGCTAACACCAACAATCCAAACAATGCCGCCAGCAGCAATATCAGTAACAGTAGCAGTAACAGTAACAGCAGCAACAACGCTAGCACCAGCAACAGCAACAACAACAACAATAACACACAGACACCAAACGATGAGTATGGCGTTTTTGGCGAATATGTGGCCATCACCATACGCAAGCTGAAGACGCCGAAGGCAAAGATTGTCATCAAGCATCTCATCAATAATTTGTTGTATGAGGCCGAGCTGGGCAAGTACGATCACGGCATGCCATCGTCCAAAGAACCACCGCAATTGTACAAGATGTGATGCAAGGACGCCAGGTTAAAGAATGGCACGCAGTGGATGCCGCCGTCAGCTGTGCCGCCGCCGTTGCCACCCCCACCACCTTGGTTCTTCAGTGCATCAAACACAACTGCTTTCGCCGCTGATTACCACCAATTAAAAGTGGAAGTAACTGGAGAAATAGCTGTGGATACATGAAGCTGCCACGGATCGTAGGGGTCGAATCAGTAGCGAGTTCAGCTGTAGCGGATACTGCAGTAGTCGACTAAGAAAAACCTGGACACTAGTCATAGTTGAAACAAAACAATTTAGAGCAGAGAAAACTAAAACTAAAACAAAAACCAATATATACAAGAAAAACTATAGCAAAGTGAAGTATGTAAAGTGTAACAGAAGAGAGGTGAAGAGAATTGGAAATATAACGAAGTGCAAGTAGTAATGAAATAAGCAGAGGTCAACGGCAAATGAATGCGTTCAAATCAGGGAATTATTTAAATGGAAATAATGTGAATTTTTAAAAAATTATATTAAAAACTAAAATACATTTCTAGAACAAAGTGTATAAGGAAATGAAAAGGCAAATGCTTTTTCGCAGTGAATGTTAGTTAATAGCAGCAAAAAGAAAAAGTGCAGGATGCACGGAAACGGAAAGGATGTGAAGTAGGAAGGAACACACATACACATAGACATACACACACACACAGAAACATACCACACAATTTTACTACTTTATATACATTAAACTCAGGTGCCTTTTTGATAGTCAAATAAGTTGTTATTAAATATATATACTTTATTGTATTTATCTTTATACATATATGTAT